GATTTGTTTTATAAACATTTTCCCTGTATTTATACAGAGGTGACGTACCAGGTGATTGCTGACCTGTTTCCAGTGAGAGACACCAAGCTGTGGGCAACAGATGGAGTAAGTATAATGATAAAGCATAACTTTTAAACGTTCTTAAAATGCAGCTTTTAACTATTTTTTATGTCACACAGACCCATCTGAGTGATGAGCATGGTCTGCCCATCCTCATGGACTGGGTGTGGGCAGCCTGCTACGGCAAGTTGGAGTGCCCTCCTCCCAGCCCTACCAAGCTGCCGTTTCCCACCTACGCCAGACCCCGCCGCCGCCGCCGCCGTCCCACCGCTCCCGTGCCTGTGTCTCCTCCAGCCCCCGCGAGACGAGGCACCAGGGAGCAGCGCAGTGTACCTTGTGGCAAGGTGAGTCATAAGAGTCTAGATATATCAGTTTAACATTGATTTCATGTACACATTTAGCATTTATAATAGTTACACTGTGTACATATTAACTAAATTCTGTCCTTTTCTTTGTTTGTTACCAAAGGTATCCAAGGAATCATCGCCTGAGACTGCACAGACACCATATTCTGTGATCGCACTGCAGGTTTGTAAAGTGATAATTTTTTTCCTAAAGTTTCTTGTCAGAGAATTCATTGTTGACCCATCTGTTGTTTTTCTTTAAGGCTCCAGAGTTCGGCATCCCACTGTCCCCTACGGTGTTCAGCCCTGCCATGGCTGAAGAGATGGAGAAGATCTGTCCCTCCAGCAGTGAAGGACCTGATGTCATGGTGGAAAAGGTAATTTTGACTTGCTGAGGCATAAACTGATCACTCATATTGGCCATTATTGGATATGAATAAATAGTAACTATGCTTTTTCTTTGTTTAGACTTCTTCAATCAAGCGAACGAAGGCCCAGAAGACCAAGCGCCACGTGAAGCATCAGGTTGGTTACCATTTCCTGGTTTATTAGTTTAAATAATTGGGGCTTAAGTAAATATAAAAAAAATATATATATATATATATATTTTTTTTTTCTTACACAGAAGGTCAGTGAGCGGCGGGCATCAACTCGACGAGCATCCTCTGCAAGCCCTCCATCTTTTGAGGTTTGTTATTCCTTCTCAGTTTACATTTTTAATTTGAAATGTTTAATATAATTAATTATAAATGTAGCAGTTGGTTTAATATATTTTTGTTTTTAATAGCTGCGCTTGGATGACCTGCAGACTGACCCAGTGCTGCCGTCACCGTCGGGGGAAAACCTCAGTGGCATCTTTTTGGACGAGGTAAGTAATTCATCACCATTTATATAAATGTTCTCTTCTACAATACCACACCATAATCAAATTCTATAGTAACATTATTACTTTTGTGCCCCAACAGTTGCCAGAGACTACATCCCCACGCAGCCTACAAGATCACCAGTCAAGCTCTGATGAAGACTCCAAAGTTAAGTCACTTTATGCTGTTGATGGCCGCCGTGCCGCAGATGTTGTTGCAAGCTGCTGTGCATTGAATGTTGCTGTTGGCCGCCGTGCCAAGGTTTCATTAGATGTAACAGATGCTGAAATGCTAACTGTAGCTGACAGTCAGGGTGACATTACACTTCATGTATGTGATGCTAAAGTACTTGCTGATAGTCCAAACATTGAGATCACGGATGAGGAAATACTTACTGTTGAAAATCCTCCTTCATGTGTTGCTGTAGACAGTCAGAATAGGCCTTCTTTTCCTGTCCCAAACAACATACGGGGTTCTTTTCACCAGGGTGTCCAGTCATTACTGCACCCTGGTACTCAGTGCATGCCCATAGCTTTAGTTGCTATTGCTCAGAATAAAATGAAAAGTGTGTTAACGTGGACACAGTTTGATTTGGACAATGTAGTTCGTTTGGGTGATCAGATGTATGCTAAGCATCATAAACCTGGTCAACATAAGTTTATGTCTGTTGTTGATTTGCCAAAGGAAGATGTCATTGATGGGCAGCACTTTACATTTGCATTTGGCGATGTTGTTACTGGAAATGTAGATGTAAATGACAGTGAATTCATTCGGGCTGGTACATGTTTTAGCTTAAGAGATGGTTTAGCCAAGATTGTTTCACAGTATGATTCTTGCCTTCTTACGCTAAATAGCAGCACCTGTGCTATTATTGGTAATAATGGTTGCTATGCTGTTGTTGATTCTCATTGTCGTAGTGCTGCTGGTTTAATTGATCCTAATGGCAAAAGCATTGTAGCATATTTTGGTTGTTTTGAAGATTTATATCGACACATTTGCTCATTGGCTGCAGGTTTTAAAAACAGGCAGTTTGAGATTCAAGGTGTTGTTGTTAACTTGACCACTACACTTCCTTGCATAGACAGTCAGATGCTAAATGCTGCTGTGTTTGATTCAGATGTAGAGTGTACTGGAGAGAGCATCACACCCATGTTCTTTAAGCCTTTACATGAACACGTCTGTAGAGAGCTGTGTAATACCTTGAATGTGGATTATGTAAAACCTGATTCTCCTCCAGTTGACATTGTTGGTTTGTTGGGCAGTCCGTGCAAAAATGAAAGTATTGTTGCTGATGGTAACTGTTTTTTCCGTGCAATTTCCCAAGCAGTTTGTGGCACACAACAATACCACAGAAAATTTAGATTAGCAACAGTAAAACAGCTGAAAAAATATCCTAATCTATACATAAATTTATGTGAAGGTTATTCTTCTGTTCAAGAATACATTCAGAAAACTAACATGGACAAAATTCACATTTGGGCCACTCAAGTTGAAATTCAAGCAATGGCCGATTATTTGGGAATTAATATTTACACTTACACAAGTAATCGGTGGCTAAAGTATAGTTGTAACTCTAAACAGTTGTCAGACGCTGGCATTTATTTGAACCATTGTAATGAAAATCACTATGAAACTGTCATCTGTGTTTCTCTGCCTAATGGACAGTTTTGCTATAACTTCTGTAAAGATATTAATGTTCATGAACGACAGTACAAAACCCGATCTAACAAAATTGTAGCCCAGGAAAATAACTCAATTAATGTACAACAACAGTTGATAAAGCCATATTCAGTCACACACTCTCAGTATATAAGGAAGAAACTAAATCTGCTTCGCAAAACAAAGTATGAAGTAGACCAATTGGAACGAACTAAAAAAATACAAACAGTTTCACAGAAATATCACAACAACCTAGAATATCAACAAAAGCTTAAGAAAAACAGTAAACAAAAATATTCTCAAAATTTAACATACAGACAAAAAAAGAGGGAACAAAGTATCCACAAATACAATACAAATGAAACCCACAGACAAAAACTTAAAATTCAAAACACTGAGAAGTATAAAATGAATCCAATCCACAGACAAAACGTTAAAAACCAGAGCATTGAGAAGTATAAGATAAATCCAATCCACAGACAAAACGTTAAAAACCAGAGCATTGAGAAGTATAAGACAAATCCAATCCACAGACAATCAGTAATAAATCAAGGCATTGAGAAATATAAGATGAATCCAATCTACAGACAAACACTAATAAATCGTAGCTTTCATAAATATAAGACAGATGAAAATCACCGCAACTACCTCAAAAATTTAAGTAAACGTAAATATAGCAACCCTGAACATAGGCAACGTGTTATATCCAGAAGCCAAAACAGAAAACAACAACTGAAAGAAAAATCCAAACTTTTTGACCAAGTTAGGGAAACATTCTTGGACAGAATCAAATTTGGACCACAGTTTGTGTGTTGTGTGTGCTACAAACGCTTCTTCCAAACTGGTGTTATGGCTTGCAAAAGGTCACATTATGTGAACATGTCCCAATCAGATTTAGATGTTTGTATTTCAGATAAATATGTACATGTGTGTGACATAACTTGCCCTATGCCTTGTGTTATGCATGCCTACAGGGGGAAGCTAAACATATGCTACACCTGTAACAGCAAATTGATTAGAGGTAAAATTCCAGCTGAATGTGGTGGTAACAATTTAGAACTCCCACCAGTACCAGAAGAACTTGCACGGCTAAACAGTATAGAAACCCATCTTGTTTCTCCAAACATGATGTTTTGTAAATACATGACTTTGCCTAAGACAAAACAGCGAGGAATCAGAGGGCCTATCGTGTGTGTAAGAAGCGAAATAGCCCAATGCTCCGAGAAGCTGTTGCCACGCACTGGCTCCCCCGGCTTAGTCCAGGTGAAGCTTAAGCGTAAACTGTCTTACAAAGGTCATTACGAACATCAGTTTGTGAACACTCAACATTTGAGAGAAGCTTTGGTCTGGCTCAAACACAATAACATCCACTTTGAAGACATCGAGTTTAATGAAGACTGGATAAATGATTTTAGTAGAGAAGACCCCGAAGAACAAGAAGAGGAAGAACAAGACGAACCAACAGTCGAAGGTACAAATCCACCATCACAAGAAGCCACACAAGATGAACATCTATATGATAAACAACAGCACGGCGTTTTCAATGACACATGCTCTATGCCTTTAGACTTGGGTCAGGAGACGTTGGACCAATATTTGGATAATGTCATTAGTGTTGCTCCAGCTGAAGGAAACAACCCAGTAAGCACACTAAATGATCACACCAATGAGGCCAAATGTTTTCCTGCCATTTTTGTGACCGGTACAAATACATATCATACACCCAGAAAATATCCACTCACTTTAGCAAAATATTTCAAATTAAGACTTTTGAATGCTGACACTAGATTTGCAAACAATCTAGAATACCTTTTTTATGCTGATGGCACCCTGATTTTGTATAATGTAATTTCTTGCGTGTCTATTGCCACACGTAAAGGACATTTTGATGCAATCGGCGCGGGTGAATCTCAGGACAACGACTGTAATACTTTAAGAAACGTCGTTCAGTTTAATGGTGGTTTTCGTTTTTTGTCACCCATACTGGGTAGTCCTGCTTTTTGGAGACAATGCAGGTCTGACGTTTTTGCAATGATTCGTCAATTGGGAATTCCAACCTGGTTCTGTTCGTTCAGCGCAGCTGACCTTCGCTGGCAAAATCTACTTGAAGCACTTTTGATCCAAGAGGGAAGAACACAGACTGTTGAAGATTTGAACTGGGCTGAACGGTGTAACCTTCTGAGGAAGAATCCTGTGGTCGCAGCTCAAATGTTTGACTATAGATGGCATTGTTTTTGAAGCTTGTTCTCCTGTCATCTGCTCATCCCCTTGGTAAAATTGTTGATTATTTTTACCGAGTAGAGTTCCAAGCAAGAGGCTCTGCCCACATCCACGCCCTGTTCTGGGTACAAGATGCACCTAGAATTGATCAAAATACAGACGAAGAAGTCATTGCCTTTGTAGATAAATATATTACCTGCCAGCTTCCAGAAGATGATCCCAAATTATTGGAAATGGTTAAAACTCTACAGACCCACTCTAAACATCACTCTAAAACTTGTCGGAAAAACAAGACCGTCTGCAGATTTAAATTCCCACGCCCACCATCTCAGAGGACTTTCATCAAAAGAGCACGGCAAACACCCATTTGTCCGAAATGCCATTTGAAGAATGAAGAGGCAGAGTGCGTGTGTCCACCAGATGATCCAACTCGGATGGGCAAAGAACGCGCACAAACCATCATGTCTGATCTACAAAATGGTCTTCGGAATGAAATTGCAAAGACCACCGCAGAACTGCAAGCAAAAGTCGGGATTACACAGAATGTTTTTGAAGAAGCGTATCAAGTTTTAGACGGGCATACATGTATTGTTTTAAAAAGAGAAGTGGATGAAGTCTGGATAAACCAAGCTAACTGGGATTTGTTGTCGATTTGGGAGGCAAATATTGATGTTCAGTATGTGGTTGACGGCTATGCTTGTGCGGCTTATATTGTGAGCTACATTTCAAAAGGTGAGAAAGAAATGGGCTTGTTGCTTGGAAGTGCACAAAAGGAAGCACTGGAAGGCAACGAGAATGCTAAAGACGCTATGAAGAAACTGGGAAGCGTTTATATAAACAACCGTGAGGTGTCTGCACAGGAAGCTGCTTATCGAGTGACTGGAATGCATCTCAAAGAGTTTTCCCGCAAAGTGTCTTTTATTCCCACAGGTGATAACATTGTCCGTCTTACAAAACCCATAAAGCAACTGGAAACCAGTTCATCTGAAGACATTTGGATGACTAACATCACCGACCGTTATAAGAATAGACCAGATGACAGCACATTTAACGACATGTGTATTGCCGTTTTTGTATCGGAATATCGCGTATTGTACAAAGGTCAAACCAGCCGGAACCCGATTCTTCTCCAAAACTCTCTGGGTGCCATAACTAAGAGAGTTAATACACAACCTGCTGTTATTCGATATGCCCGGTTCTCTCAAACACAACGTCCAGAACAGTTCTTTCAGAGTATTTTACAGCTGTTTCTCCCTTATTGTGCAGACAGCGACCTGATGCCTCCACCACATACTGCATTTGAAGAATTTTACAACAGCGGACAGATTGTTCTTTCCAATGGATCTGTGTGTTCTGTAAAATCTGTAGTTGATGCAAATCAAAAGAGATTTGACAAACACACTGAAGACTTGGAAGCAATTGAAGACGAAGTCAGCATGAATGCAAATTTGGAAGACGCATGGTGTGCCCTCTGCCCTGCCCAACAGCTTGAAAGGCTGGAAGATAAGGACGAAGGTGTGGAAAGAGATGAAGAGGAAGTCCATGCCGAGTTACTACAAATTCCTGAATTGGCTGTTAGAAAAGAAGACATCGTCCAGTTTGAAAAAGCAAAAACATTAACTAGACAAGAGGGTTTAAGTTTAATTCGATCCTTAAATGACCAACAGATGGCCATTTTCACCCAAATTCGACAGTGGTGTTTGCAGAAAATTATGAATCAAAACCCAGAGCCTCTGCGCACATTTATAACCGGCGGAGCAGGCACTGGAAAAAGTCATCTCATTAGAGCGATACAATACGAAGCAACAAGACTTTTGGCACCTTTATGTTCTACTCCAGATGGGGTTAGCGTTTTGCTAACTGCACCTACTGGAATAGCAGCATATAATCTAAAGGCTACAACCATTCACTCCACGTTTAGCATCGGCATGGACTGCCGTCTCCCCTACGTACCACTGAGTGAAGACAAACTCAATACTCTGAGAGTTCAGTTCAACGATCTTCATATTGTCATCATAGACGAAGTTTCAATGGTTTCATACAACTTATTGGTTTACATTCACGGTAGATTACGACAGATTAAACAAAGTGGCGATTCCCCATTTGGTAACATTAGTATTATTGCAGTTGGCGACTTTTACCAATTACCTCCGGTAAAAGGTAAACCTTTGTATGATGCACGAGTTGGTTATAATCTGTGGGAAGACTTGTTTCGCATTGCGGAGTTGACAACGGTTGTACGGCAACAAGACACCACATTTGCAGATCTGCTGAACCGCTTAAGGACCCGGTCAAGAAAGACACCCATGCTCCCAGAAGATGAAGATCTTTTAAGAAGCCGTGAAACGGGACAAAACTCCACTGCTTTGCATATCTTTCCCACCAACACACAGGTGGAAAGACACAATCTCGAACAGGTCCGAATCACCTGCCCGGATTACATAACGGTCACAGCACAAGATTACAGCTACAGTAAAAAAACTGGTAAACTGATTGAATTCACGGAGGGAGTTGTTAAAACAAAAAACACCTCGCTACTTGATGAATTGCCTGTTGGTGTCAATGCACGTGTAATGCTGATTAAAAACGTGGATGTACCTGATGGTCTGGTGAATGGTGTATGTGGCACAGTAACCCACATAGACAATCCACCAAACAGAAGACTTCCTCTGGCAATTTATGTCAAGTTTGACGAGGACTTAATTGGCGCACAGAAGAGAAGCCGGACTATCACTCCACCAGGCCTGACTGGTTCTACACGGATAGAACCAGTAGAAGATCAAGCTAATAAAAAGGGGGAGAAGCGGCGGCAGTTTCCCCTTAAATTAGCGTGGGCCTGCACAGTGCACAAGGTACAAGGTCTTACCGTTGATGAAGCTGTGGTGGGTCTGAACCACACTTTTACAGCAGGTCAAGCCTATGTTGCCTTGAGCCGTGTCAGGAGTTTGGAAGGCCTCATAATTCAAAACTTCGAACCAAAGAAAATTTACTGGAACGGCAAGATTAGGCCAGCATTAGACAAAATGCTTCCTTTCGTGGTCACTGACCAGTCATTGCACATGCAAGAAACTCAAGTATTCAACTTGTTTTTCATGAATGTGCAAGGACTCCCACAACATGTGTCTGATTTACAGTTATGTATGCAGCCCTTCCATCCCCACTGTGTTTCTGTTACAGAAACATGGCTAAATCTACAGTCACTCGAACAAACCCATAACATTTCAGGTTACAGTTTCCACAGTCAACCACGCAGTTTAGCTTATCAAAGTAGCCATAACCCTGCACTTGTAAAATTGCAGACACAACAACATGGTGGAGTTGGAATGTACTGTCAAGACGGTCATTCTTACAACACTGTCTCATTGCAGTCTTCTAATCTGGAATGTTTGGCTAAACATTTTACAGAACATGACATTCTCATTGCTGTCATCTACAGACCACCTTCATACCCAATGACACTTTTTAAACATCATTTAAACAAACTGATAAATTGGCTTGATTCGAACTATAGTAACATCGCTATTGTGGGAGACTTTAATGACAACATATTGAAATCATCAAATATTTTAAATTTCATGCAAAAAAAAGGATTTGTTCAATGTGTTGCCTCTCCCACTACAGAACAGGGCACTTTAATTGATCACATGTATTTAAAGTCCTCAAAATTTGAAGTTGACACATGTGTTGTACCAACTTATTTCAGTGACCACGAAGGGGTAGCATGTTGTTTCAGGTACAAAAACATAACAAACAATTAGTCTGTTTAATTTTCAGCTGCTGTGTTGCCTTACAACATTGTCCTTGATGCAGTTTGTTGTGCGCTTTCTTTTTTCTGATTAGCAATTGATAAAGGCTTGATAATCTAGGTGTTTGTGTAGTTGGTTGGTTTTTGCTTGGATTGGCTTGTGTTGTTGAATCTATTTATCCTGGTGCTTTATTGGTTTGCCTTTGGTTTGGATATCGTAGCAGCTAATTGGTTTTTGCTCATGCATCATGGTTCTAGTGTAATGTTTTCCTTGTAATGTGCATATAATGTATTCTCCTGTTTTAATATGTAGATGTATGTACAATTATTGCTTGATAATACTGTGAATTTTTAAGACATTGTAAAAATGTGTACATTTGTGAAATATTTTTTCATTTAATTTGAACCCAATTTGCTTGTAATCTTAAGTGTAATGTAAATGTTCTAACCCGGAACATCCTGTTAATGTAATATATACACTGACCAAAACAATCTGTGCAATAACTTGTATAACTAATGTGTAACATCTCTCTGTAAATAAACCTGTTTATAGTGTATAGTGTAGTGACAATAAAGACATTCTGTTGTATTAATAATGTAATTTTCTTCAAATTGTAGAGATACTGGAAATGTATGTAGGCCTATTGAACTAATTGTTACCTTGCATGTAAAAACACATATTCATAATATTTCTGAAGCATGTTAATAAATTTAGTTTTCTGCATTCATGTTTGTATCTAATGTGCCAAAGATTTCATTAAAAAAACTATTTTTTTTTTAAATTAGTCATTAAAAATAATGCTACTTGTTTGTATTTCTTAAACTACTAAGTTCATGATAATTGTATGTATTTTTCTTTTTATTTAACATTTTAATGACCCATAATTTTTTATTGCCATTTACAATAATTTTTGTAAAAAAAAAATAAAAAAAATAATTACATTTTGACTTCTAAATTGTGCTGAATTTTTTTTTTATTAGTCATTAAAAATAATACCACTTGTTTGTATTTCTTAAACTAATAAGTTCATGATAATTTCATGTATTTTTCTTTTTATTTAACATTTTAATGACCCATAATTTTTTATTGCCATTTACAATAGTTTTTGTAAAAAAAAAAAAAAAAAAATTACATTTTGACTTCTAAATAGTGCTGAATTTTTTTTTTTTTTATTAGTCATTAAAAATAATACTACTTGTTTGTATTTCTTAAACTAATAAGTTCATGATAATTTCATGTATTTTTCTTTTTATTTAACATAATTTTTTATTGGCATTTACAATAATTTTTGTTAAAAAAATAATATATATAATATAATACACTATAAAACACTATAAAACATATGAAAAGTGAACTCTATAGCGCCCCCTACCATAGACATGAAACGTCAACATTATCGGATTAGCACCAAATTCGGGAATTAAATTCTATGCATGATTACAAGCAAAAAAGTCTATTACGGACATGGTGCATTTTTCACGGTTGGTCAGTAGGGGCGCAATGACTCCTGAAACATTTAAAGGTACACTATGTAATTTTTCTGGTGGACGAGCTGTCGGCCTCGGGACCTGTCGGGAAGAGAGGGTGGCGTGCTGGGGCGGTCGCGAGTCCCCGGAGGTCGCGAGGGGGGGCGGTGCGTGCCCGGGGCGAGGGCCACCATCGCCGCGCGCGGCTTTAATTTTTTTATTATTTTTTTGGGGAGTCTTTGCGCCCCTACTGGCCAACCATGAAAAATGCACCATGTCCGTAATAGATTTTTGCTTGTAATCATATACAGAATTTAATTCCCGAATTTGGTACAAATCCAATAATGCTTACGTTTCATGTCTATGGTAGGGGGCGCTATAGAGTTCATTTTTCATATGTTTTATAGTGTATTATATTCAGGCCGGGATCATGCATTAGTGATTCAAATTTCAGCACGATCGGACAAAACCTGTTTGTGTAATACAATTTTTAACTTTTTTTGGGGGGAGTCTTTGCACCCCTGGTGGCCAACTGTGAAAAATACCCCATGTCCGTAATGCACTTTTTTGCTTGTCATCAGGCATAGAATTTAATTTCCGAATTTGGTAAAAATCCGATAATGTTGACGTTTCACGTCTATGCTAGGGGGCGCTATAGAGTTCACTTTTATTAGATTTCATATTTCATTACATTCAGGCCTGGGTCACGCAATTGTGATTTGAATTTGAGTTCTCTATGACAATGCCTGTGGCCGTGACAGGCCTTCGAAAAAACAGGAAACGAAGGCGTTATTCGCCGGCGTGCTACGGGCGAACCGTACGGAGTATCTCAAAAAAAGTTGAAAATTTCTGTGAGTTCATGTCTCTAGATGTGACATGTCAAATCTGAGCTCATTTGGACGAAACCCCGGGGACTTGAATCTTTTTGTAGACCCCCAAGTCGAAACGGCGCCGAATTTTTGATCCAATATGGCCGACTTCCTGTTCGTCATACGGGTGCACAATGATTGGCTTTTTTGTTTGTCTCCATGAGTTCTATCACTGTTCCGAATTTCGTGACCCTACTCCAAAATATGCGTCTGAGCCTCCCAGTCATCTCAAAATTTTGAAATTTCAAGGGGGCGCTGTTGAGTGGGGGGGGCTTTGGGCATTGTCGCGATGCCCGTTTTATTGAATTTTTCGCCGGACCGGTCGATCTGGACCCCGGTTTGGGGACTTTTCGTCGATGTTCAGGGGGTCAAAAATGCGATCGTTTGGTCGGAAAAGGGAATAAAAAAAAAAAATAAAAAAAAAAGAAACCGACGAAGAACAATACCCCTCGCCGAGGGCCAATAATATTAATAATAACAATTATCCATCCAAGCATTTTATCCAGGGCTGGGTCGAGGAGGCAGCAGTCTAAGTAGGGACTCCCAGACTTCCTTCACCCCAGACACGTCCAGCGTGTCCTGGGTCTTCCACGGGTCCTCCTTCCAGTGGGACATGCCCAGAACACCTCCCAAGGGAGGCGCCCAGGAACAGATGCCTGAGCCACCTCAACTGGCTCCCCTCGATGTGGAGGAGCAGCGATTCTAATCCAAGCTCCTCCCATTTGACTGAGCTCCTCACCCTGTCTATAAGGGAGCACCCAGCCACCCTGCGAAGGAAACTCATTTCCACCGCTTGTATCCAAAATCTCGTCCTTTTGGTCATTATCCAGAGCTCATGACCATAGGTGAGGGGAGGAACATAGATTGAGCGGTAAATCGAGAGCTTTGCCTTTCGGCTCAACTCCCTCTTCACCACAAAGGTCCGATACAGTGACAGCATCATTGCAGACGCTGCACCAATCTGTTATTATTGCACCGAACTGTATTATATTGATAATAATTATGTGCATCACTTAATAAAAGTGAAATAATTAGACCTATAAAATAAATGCTTAAAAAAATTATAACTTGCCAGCTCTTCTGTACATCCAGGTGAGCATTTTTTAGGTCAAGGTGAAAATGAAATGAGCAGTAAGACATGTATAGGTCAGAAACTCAAGCAGAACAACAGAATAATGGGAATCAAAATCAGTAGTATATGTAGGCATAGGTGATGAAAATTCAGCAGGAAATGTAAATAATAATGTTTCCTCATCAAAAACATCCATCTATCTGTCTATAACACTACACATTAATTAGTAATGAAGTAATTTTTTTGTGTATTTGTAAATAATACTTTTCAAATTTTTAGTTTCACAGCTCTAGATCAGGAGACAGGTGGACACACTGATTTAGAGGCGCAGGTGGGAGAAAGCTTACTTATGTTCATTCACTCCTCAAATTCATAAATTCTCTTTTCGTCTTGCCCTCCCTTGAAAATCCCGACTAGAATTTTTCCATTACCACCAATAGCTCATGGTCTGTGCAGCTCATGTGTTCCATTGAATCCCACAATATGAGGGAAAAAAGCTGGAATTTGTTTGGCGGAATGGCTGTGGGCCTGGGTACAGAGGTCAAAGGTCAACAGTTAAATCAGGACTGATGTGGAAACGCTGCATGCCTCAACCGTGAACTTTGACCTTTGGGACAGAGTCGTAGTGTTTGAATGAGGCGATATAATGTAATGGGCAAATATACAATACAAAGAGGAGGGGTTGAGTTCAATGAGTTGAATGGGTTTAGACAGCAATCACTCACACCACATTTGTATAAACAAGGTGAGTGAAGTGTCTTGCTCAATAACACAACAAAAGTATGCAGTACTAGCCATTACTGCCCAACTAAAGTCTTTGGTATTGCCCTATAGTTCAACTGTATTAGAAATGAGACTAAAAGAAATGTAATATTTTGGTCCATTGTGAAATTTTATATTTAAATAACATTACAAATCCAGTGGTCACAGGTACCTGGTCTGAAATGTTTTGCCAAAGGACACAACAACCGTATGCACTAGGTAGGATTACCGACCTTCTGTTGATAAGACAACCACTCTAACACTTGAATTGTAATATTTTGTGTTGTAATAAATTAGGATACTAAATGTCCTGTATTATGGAACATTGACTCTTGTGAGCTTTAAGCCATGTTAGAATGTTTTTACCTCCTCAAAAACATACCTGGAGTTGTGTTTTGTCTTACTGACACATGTTTGAGTAGCTCTGCAAAACTCAAAATGTTCTGTTCCACTTTATGTGATCATACGAGATCATCATGGTATGAACCTCACAGTAAGGTATTTATTGCAATATTGTGGGAAAGCTCATGATATAGTGGGGAGGCTCCTAATTAGGGATGTAACAATATCCAAATCTCTCAGTACCCTATATTGTGAGACCTTTGATGATACGATATCACGATATTTTGGTTATTGTTACATCCCTAGGTGATAGTTTTCAAGTTAACTGCTACCTCCTTTTACCTTTGTTTTGTTTAGTACAGACTGGAAATTCCAGGGCTGAAATTACCCAAATGATTCTAGTGAAGATGTATGGAGTTTAAAAACACAGTGGAGCACTTCCTATATTACCACATGGCATTACAAGATGTGTTTGAGAGAAGCAAACACAACTCCAGGTATGTTTATGATGAGGAAACAACATTATAACACAGATCAGGAAATAGAGTCATATAGGCCCTTTAAAGAACAATGGCATTTACCATAAACACTAATTTGAACCACTTGCATTGTAAATGGGACACACATAAACAGCATTAGCCAAACAATACACTAGAATTTCCTTATACTCAAACAGGACCAACGCCCTTTCTCCGTCCTGGGAGCCTTTTGCTCCTAATGTGATCCTGATGTTCCCTCCCTAAAACCCTTCCCCAACCCCCCTTTTTGGACGGGACATACCCCATGACCAGGACGAACTAAGCCTCGTGTTTTAAAGTCCCCCACCCATTTTTCTTCTTTTTCAGCTGCTGTGGAAGTTGACAAGAGACAGCTGTTAGGGCGCAGTAAGCAGTGAGTATAGTGAGGATACAGAATTACTCACACTTAAATGCCATCACTGTGGGGGATATATGGGTTATAGGCATATTCTTAGTGAATCTGAATTGATACTTTGCCGTGACATCGCGCTGGGTGTTCTGCATGTATGTGTATTGGCGGAATGTTCACCAGTTACCAAGGAGACCCAATGCACACATTAGCAAACACGGCCAATTAAGGTTTAAGATTGTCTCCAAGCTCAAGAAAAAAATAGAAAATGGATTTTAACGGCACATTTTCAAGAGCCTGTTATTAATACAAGCGTTCATGGTCCTGTTTAGGTGATTTTCAACAAAAAAGGTGAGTGTCTTACCGAAAACTGTTGGATAATTGTAGCTATTTTGTGACTGTAATGTTGTTTAACTTTGA